TCTTTCTACTAGCAAAACTAGCCTAGCTATTACTAGCTCGCGAATTAAGCAGCTAGGAGAGAGAGAATGGCTAAGCCAACTTGAACAGTATAGGAAAAAAGCTACTAGCAAGAATCCACAAACGTACGCAGCAAAATACAAGTGGAAGATAAGAAAGCAAATCGCTATTCCTAGCAACACTAGAAGAGAGATTTCTAGCGCTTTCTACTAACTTAAACTAGGGCACTATTACCTAAGGGACTACCTATATAAGAGAGGGAAAGTGGATTCTAATAGTTGCCCCTGCAACTATAGGTCTATACAAGACCTATCTCATATTCTATTTAGATGTAATCTATATAGAGAGGAAAGGAAAGGACTAAGAGAAGCCTGCGAAGGCGATCTATCACTACCTATCCTCCTTTAAACAAAAGAGGGTATAGAAGCAACTATTACCTTTATTCAAGAAACAAAGGCTGGAACACAAGCCTAGTATAAAGGAAACACAGAAAACAAGGAGTAATACCTGTAACAGGTAGCTATACACCTCCCCCACCCTATCCCACCCCCTACCTACTAACTAATAGGCTACGAGCCTCACCTTTATCTAGTTAAAACCCCTTCTAAATATCGTAGCTAGAAACAACCTACTTAGATACTTGTAGGCCTAAAAACCCTACACGTCTTATATAGCCCTTTGGGCTGAAAAAGGACGTTAAACTAGAATAATAATAATAATAATAGTGGCGGGAACGGGTATCACGGCAGGCTTCACCCTACAGCCGCCTTGGCGCGGTTTGGCTGACAGCTACCGGGCTTAAGTAATCCCAGACTTGCCTTTGTATGTGCAACACGATTGCCAAAACTCAAGGGGAAATAGGAGGAGGCCTGGCGAGGTCTGGCGAGGTCTGGTTGCTTTCGCGCCTTGCCTGATGCGGCATCATGTGACATCATTTGTCCCGTCTCCTTTCGTAAGGCTGTTGATACTGATGCCCGACGCTGAGGAATCACCAACTTCTTTTTTTGGCGCTCCGAAATAACCAGAATATGTCGAACCCACAGCATGAGATGCTTGCGCCAGTGGCCAAACTAACTAGAACGTTATATGCCCAAAGGGGCAGACTTTGGTGCTAAACCCCCAAGGCCAGGTAAGCACTCGCCTGGCCTGCCTCATCTTCACACGCCTAGACCACCACACACACGCACCACCAGCACAAAAACCATGCCTGACAACGCCCGCCCCCAAACATTATTCCCGGTGCCCCCCAAATTACTGCATGCGGAAGGTTGCCAGCTCCAGCGTCAATCTCTGGGACCGTTTCAGTGAAAGGCCAGACCGATGGGGGCTTGTGCTCAGGTGCGTGGCAGTGTTGTTTTTGACGCGTTTCCAATCTAATTAGTACGTTTACTGGACTCAAAGTCCCACATAATAGCCCTTTTTCACACACGCAAAACACCCATGTATATGCCTATTTCTGTGGGGGATGCGGGCGCTACTTTTGCACTAATGGGATACTCAAAGCTAATGTGTGTAATGTGCATGTGGCTTTCAGCTGCAGGCTGAGTCGTGTACCTATCTCCCCGGCGGGCTTCGGCGGGTAGTTAGTTGGTTGGTTTTGTTTTCTGGTTATTTTACCATTGTGTTTTATTCATCGCGGCCCGCAGTCGTCAATGGGCGTTTGGGCCATATTGCCTATCTGGGTAAAAAACGTTATTTTTTTCATTGCATTGGGTTGCGGGTGGTTGGTTTTGCGTGACGGGCGTCTTTGCTCAGTGGCGGGTATTTTTTTATTTTTTTTACAAACGGCAAAGTAGCTGAGGTACTGAGAAAGAATTCTGGAGTTGCGGCTATTGCTCGTATTGGGCTTATACAGCGAGATTTGGCTTTGCGATTGTTGGGAGCCGTGTTGGCATCGGCAGATGTAGCTTTATTGTGCGCGTTACATTCCAGCCGCCTTGTGTTTCTTGATGTCTGTTTAGAGCGTGTATGGGATGTTGTTTAGTAATGTTCAGTTCGTAGGTTCTTCAACCAGGTGTTGCTGTGCGCAGGATGACCACCGTATTTACGATCAATCGGTCCGAATCGTCAATGAGCTGCCGTCTCGATGTTATTGGTCTTTTTGAAGCTAAAATGGACCCTGATGCACACTTGAGTTCACTCTTGAGAGTATGGGGTGACTGGAGCTGCTCTGGTTCCAATCGCATGCTGCTAATCGTGTCGCATACTGCGCTCAGGCTTGAGGTGTTGAGCTCAGCTCAAATGTCAGTGTGCTATGAATGGAATGTCCAAAGTTTGCGAGAGCGGGCCAATTATGAGTGCGCAAGATACATGTCAGTACTGACACTTACGTAGGAGCTGAGGCATGGGTATACCAAGAGTTGGCTTGGCCATGCAACCGGCTGACCAGGGGCCGCATGACACCACAGCCGCAGTACATACAGGCTATGACCAGTTGCTGGTTAGTCGAATGACGTCAAGGCGATCGTTCGTCGCCATCAGCTGTCAATGGAGTGGATCCAAAGATTACTTGCAGCTTGCGGCGGCTCGGCTTTAAGGCTACCTCCGCGTTGGAGAGTGAATGCAGCGGTTTTCCAGTTGCCAAGGTTGGCTATCGGGTGGCACTCTTCCGAACAGGTTAGTCTAAGGCGGCCCATAACCCCCAAACACTTGTCCCCTGCTCTCTCCATCACTCTTTGTCTCCGTCACCGCCTGTCATTTTTGTGTCGCTTCACGCAATCAACACCACCTTCACAATGGCCGCTGTTGCTCCTGCTGCCACCGCCCAGCAGGTGGTGGTTACCAAACCCCAAGGCTTTGACCTTTACTCTCGTTTTGCTCTTGCAGGTGCCATGGGTTGTTCCATAACCCACGGTGCATTTACTCCAGTCGACGTGTACGGCTCTTGCTCAAGCAGTTGCGGCCCGGCCTCTATCCGCTGACACTTCTCCATAGTGTAAAGACCAGGATCCAGCTCGACCCTGCCACGTACAACCGTGGCATGATTGGCGGTTTCCGTCAGGTTATCCAAAATGAAGGTGTTGGCGCTCTTGCAACTGGCTTTGGCCCTACCTGTGCTGGTTACTTTATGCAAGGAGCGTTCAAGTTTGGAGGTTACGAGTTCTTCAAGCAAAAGTCCATTGACGTCCTTGGTCTTGAGAAGGCCCGCGAGAACCGCGCGCTCGTCTACTCCGTGTCTGCTGGTTGCGCCGAGTTTTTCGCCTCAGTTGCCCTCTGCCCTCTGGAGGCTACCCGCATCCGTCTTGTCTCGACACCTGGTTTCGCCAACGGCCTAGTGGGAGGATTCGGAAAGATTCTCAAAAACGAGGGTGTTGGTGCCTTTTACTCTGGATTCGGCCCAATCCTTTTCAAACAGTACGCTGGTTACCCCACTGAAGTTTACTGACGCTGTGAGACATGCACATTACAGCAGAACCGAAGCTAAGACGCATGTAGGGTCCCTTACACAATCACCAAGTTTGTTGCCTTTGAAAAGATTGCCGAGACCATCTTTGACATGTTTGACAAGAAGTCCATGTCTTCCGGTGCCCAAACCACTGTCAACTTGGGATCTGGTCTTCTTGCTGGTTTCGCTGCTGCTATTGTTTCCCAGCCTGCAGACACTATGCTGTCTAAGATTAACAAGACCAAGGGTCTGCCTGGAGAGAGCACCGCCTCTCGCCTCATCAAGATTGCTGGCGAGCTTGGTCTTCGTGGATCCTTTGCTGGTCTGCCAACCCGTCTTTTCATGGTCGGTGGACTGACTGCTGGTCAATTCGCAATCTACGGTGACATCAAGAAGGCTCTGGGTAAGTACAATAATTGCGTCCTTCTCTTGAAACAAACTGACTCCTTTCTAGGTGCTTCTGCTGGTGTTGAGATTGCAAAGTAAGGAAGAAGCTACTACTATCAGTTTCAATGGTTGGATTTAGAAAAGTTAGTCCAGTCACTACATAGACGTACGCATGCTTGATACCCAAAGCACTGCGCATGAACCAGTATAGATCTCGCAGATTTGTTTGCTGTTAGACACCTTCTATCATCACAATATTCAAACATCAATCTTCCACTGAAGTATCAAATCTCTATATGCGCTCAAGTCCCGTGAAAGCCTGGCTTCTACCCCACGGCTAAACGGGATGAATGCTGCGGCGGGTCATCTTCGCCCTGCAGAAGCAACGCAATGGCGCCTCAACTGAACTCATGGCTTCGACCACGTGTACTCTGATACGCTGTCGAGGCGCCACTATAGTTGTGGCGCCAGGGATAGCTCCCGGAGGATCGCCCCGTTCCGGGTAGAGGAACCCCTCCGACATCCGCCGATGTTAGCGCTCGGGGGACTAGCCTGCTCGGGGGCACGCACCCTGGACCGGCCCGACATCCACCGACTTGGCGACCGGAGAAAACCCCTGCTCGGAGCACGAGTGGGTCGCCCCGACATGCTCCGGTCTGGGGTGAGTGCATAGTGTTATGGAGTTAACATCAACACACGGCATTTGAGGCTGGTATCTAGTGAAGACTGGGAAGATCATAGAGCTGGTAAGTTTTTGTAAGCTGAAATAGTATCACACTGATTCAATACAGACTCTGCAATTGCATGCATAGTCTGCCTCCGCTTTCCAGGTCATCTTGAGTGAAAAGAACATGTGACCTGGAGCCACCGGAGACCGAAAGTCGGGTTTTCCGTCTTTCCTCAACAATCCACTATCGGAGGACTGCGAGACCTGGAGATATCACGGAATTGCGGACTTAAGGCGTTGAAAGAGCGTCTTCAGAAGCCGCAGCGATGCTGCATCCCGGTCGCATGCAATAAAACTCGGTATCCAAACACCTTCTTTAACATTCACACTTGCATTTCATACTGCTCAAACTGCACCAGGTCAGTTTGAACGAACGAAGATAGCACTGATCTCAGGCGTAGCGCGCTGAGTCGTACACACAGCCCGCAATGTCTACAACTCCGTCCTACCCAAATGGCGACGAGGAAAAACAAGTTGTAGATATCCATGACCAATCCGTCAGCTCATCATCTAGCACCGGCCCCGAATCAGAAAAACCTCGACTCAGCAAAGACAGCGCAGGTGCGGAAGAAGGCGGAGCCACAGAGTCACAGGATGCCGGCGAGTACGCAACTGGAGCGAAGCTCTTGATTATCGTCCTTGCCCTAGTCCTCAGTGTTTTCCTCTTCTCTCTCGACCAGGTACGTCTTCATTGGCACACGTCCTTTCTTCCCTGAATAGCATGCTGACACGTCACCATGCAGACGATTGTCGCGACCGCGATTCCGAAAATCACCGATGATTTTCGCAGCCTCGATGACATATCGTGGTACGGCTCAGCTTTCTTCATGACGCTGGGAGGGTTTCAGTCCATGTGGGGTAAAGCGTACAAGTACTTTCCCCTCAAGATTAGCTTCCTGTTGGCCATTTTTGTCTTTGAGCTCGGAAGCTTGATCTGCGGTGTGGCACCGAATTCGCTGACGCTTATTGTTGGTCGCGCGATTGCTGGTGTTGGTGCCGCGGGTATCGGGTCGGGAGCGTATACGATTGTAGCCTTTGCTGCTGAGCCGAAGAAGAGGGCGACGTATACAGGTATCCTGGGTGCGGCGTATGGTATCGCTGCTGTGGCTGGGCCGCTTGTTGGAGGCGTACTGACGGATAAGGCTTCTTGGCGATGGTATGTTGTTCTTCCATCTCGCCATGCTCAACTTGGTCTGACTTGCCGATAGGTGTTTCTACATCAACCTCCCAATCGGCGGTCTAGCCGCTGCCACCATCTTCATATTCTTCCAGACGCCCAAAGCCGCGAAGCCCGTCGACGCTCCCCTCGGCGAGAAGCTCCTACAGATGGATCCCATGGGTACGGTTCTCATCATGGGCGCCGTAATCGCGTACATCCTCGCTCTCCAGTACGGCGGTGCAAGGGAATCATGGAACTCGGGTATCGTCATTGGTCTTCTCGTCGGCTTCGCTGTTATCCTCATTGCCTTTGGCGTCTTGGAGATCTGGCAAGGCGAGCGCTCGATGCTCACACCGCGTCTGATGCGCAACCGATACGTCTGGGTAAACGGCTTATTTGGGTTTTTCTTCTGCGGCGCCTACTTTGTTCCGCTGTACTACCTGCCCATTTACTTTCAGAGCATCGACAACGTCAGTCCTACGGCTTCGGGCGTACGCAATCTGCCCCTCATCATTGCGTTCAGCGTCGGTGCTGTGCTTTCTGGCGGCGCCATTTCCAAAACCGGTGTTGCGACTCCAATCCTTACAGTTAGCGCGGTCATTACGACGGTTGCCGCAGGTGCAATGTACACTCTTGATATTGGCAGTGGGACTGGTAAGTGGATTGGATTTCAGATCCTGTCGGGATTGGGATTCGGAGTAGGTTTCCAGGTCCCCATCATCGTGGTACAAGCTACTGCACAGCCAACGGACCTGGCCTCTGTGACTGCGATTACTTTGTGTAAGTTTTATCCCAATTCCTTCGAGAGAGATAACATGCTAATCGAAAAATCATGTACAGTTTTCGAAACTGTCGGCGGCGCTTTTCTCGTCGCTGCCGCTCAATCCGGTTTCGTCAACCAGCTCCTGCACAAACTCGCCTCTACTGCCGCTGGCGTAAACCCAGCTCTCGTCGTAGCTACCGGTGCCACTGATCTGCACAGGGTTTTCTCAGGTGATGAGCTGAATGGTGTTCTGGTCGCATACATGGCTGGCATCAAGGTCGCGTTCGCTATTACGGTTGGTGCTGTCGGCATCTCAGTCCCGATCAGCTTGCTGAGCAAGTGGGGGAGAATAAACCAGCAGAAGCCTAGTGTGTGAGAGGGAATTATTTGGATGAGAAGATGGTTTCAATTGATAGCATGGATATGTTGTTTGTATCATATGGTGGCTGAAGTTAAAGAATTGTAGGTGGATAGATAGTCGATGTGAGTGAACGAATGAAAATTTCTAAACGTTCAAAAACTTCACATGGGGTTCGAAATGAAAATTGCCCTGAAATCAGCTTAACTACTCCATCTGAATACGACATATGAAATCCTGTATATTCATGTTTTCGGTCACTATCGTCATGTAGTCAGTCAGAATAGACTGGTAATTGGGTAAAAGTTGCTCATGCTCGCGTAGACATTCAGCTAGGGCTCTTACTACATAACCTAGGTAGGCAGGCTATACCTCATATTTACCTACGCTTTGACTATTGTGACTCAACTTTTGAGTGTTAACTGGGTAGGGGTAGGGGTAGGGTAGGGTTGGATTATGTAAGACACCTACCCTAACGTGTTCCACCAGTCATCCGGCCACACCAGTCATCCGGCCACCCCACCAAACTTGACCTAACCCTCTACACAACAACAGCTATGACGCGACAACAACGCTCTCTATCGCCTCAAAGGCAAGGTAGACTTTGTCTTGCATCTCAATCAATTCAAAGACATCAAATTAAGAGTCAACGTAAAGCTGCTCAGCTATTTAATGTTCCTCGTTCAACGCTTTATGACCGCCTTCAAGGTAGACAACCTCAAGCTACTGCTAACGCTAGAAAAAGAAAGCTACTACCTATTGAAGAGCAGTCTCTCGTACAATGGATCCTAGACCTTGACCGGCGCGGTTTTCCGCCCCATATTATCGATGTGCGACGAATGGCAGACGCTCTACTCGCTGCGCGCGGCCAAGATCCACCTCCACCACCTGTTGGCAAGAACTGGGTGTCGCGCTTTGTCCAGAGCCAGCCAGAGCTCCAGACAAAGTGGACTAGGAGATTTAA